ATTGCCTGGTTGACCCACTCATTCGTTAGTAGGGTGTTCTTTAACCTCCATGCTTTTGGAGGTTTTCCAGACTTTTTTCTGTGGTTGATTTCAAGCTTCATAGCATTGTGGTCTGAAAGTATGCATGGTATAATTTCAGTTCTTGTAAACTTATGAAGGGCTGTTTTGTGACCCAGTATATGATCTATCTTGGAGAATGTTCCATGTGCACTCGAGAAGAAAGTATATTCTGTTGCTTTGGGATGCAGAGTTCTAAATATATCTGTCAAGTCCATCTGATCCAATGTCTCATTCAGGGCCCTTGTTTCTTTATTGACCGTGTGTCTAGATGATCTATCCACTTCTGTAAGTGGGGTGTTCAAGTCCCCTGCAATTACCACATTCTTATCAATAAGGTTGCTTATGTTTATGAGTAATTGTTTTATATATTTGGGGGCTCCAGTATTCGGTGCATAGACATTTATAATTGTTAGTTCTTCCTGATGGATAGACCCTGTCACTATTATGTAATGTCCTTCTTCATCTCTTGTTACAGCCTTTAATTTAAAGTCTAGTTTGTTTGATATAAGTATGGCTACTCCAGCTTTCTTTTGGCTTCCAGTAGCATGATAAATAGTTCTCCATCCCCTCACTCTCAATCTAAAGGTGTCCTCAGGTCTAAAATGAGTCTCTTGTAGACAGCAAATAGATGGGTCTTGTTTTTTTATCCATTCTGATACCCTATGTCTTTTGGTTGGCGCATTTAATCCATTTACATTCAGTGTTATTATAGAAAGATACGGGTTTAGAGTCATTGTGATGTCTGTAGGTTTTATGCTTGTAGTGATGTCTCTGGTACTTTGTCTCACAGGGTCCCCCTTAGGATCTCCTGTAGGGCTGGTTGAGTGGTGACAAATTCCTTCAGTTTTTGTTTGTTTGGGAAGACCTTTATCTCTCCTTCTATTCTAAATGACAGACTTGCTGGATAAAGGATTCTTGGCTGCATATTTTTTCTGTCTAGCACACTGAAAATCTCGTGCCAATTCTTTCTGGCCTGCCAAGTTTCAAAAGAGAGATCAGTCACGAGTCTTATAGGTCTCCCTTTATATGTGAGGGCACGTTTACCCCTTGCTGCTTTCAGAATTTTCTCTTTATCCTTGTATTTTGCCAGTTTCACTATGATATGTCGTGCAGAAGATCGATTCAAGTTACGTCTGAAGGGAGTTCTCTGTGCCTCTTGGATTTCAATGCCTTTTTCCTTCCCCAGTTCAGGGAAGTTCTCAGCTATTATTTCTTCAAGTACCCCTTCAGCACCTTTCTCTCTCTCTTCCTCCTCTGGGATACCAATGATGCATATATTATTTCTTTTTAGTGTATCACTTAGTTCTCTAATTTTCCCCTCATACTCCTGAATTTTTTTTATCTCTCTTTTTCTCAGCTTCCTCTTTTTCCATAACTTTATCTTCTAGTTCACCTATTCTCTCCTCTGCCTCTTCAATCCGAGCCGTGGTGGTTTCCATTTTGTTATGCATTTCGTTTAAAGCGTTTTTCAGCTCCTCGTGACTGTTCCTTAGTCCCTTGATCTCTGTAGCAAGAGATTCTCTGCTGTCCTCTATACTGTTTTCAAGCCCAGTGGTTAATTTTATGACTATTATTCTAAATTCACTTTCTGTTAGATTATTTAAATCCTTTCTGATCAGCTCATTAGCTGTTGTTATTTCCTGGAGATTCTTCTGAGGGGAATTCTTCCGCTTGGTCATTTTGGATAGTCCCTGGCGTGGTGAGGACCTGCAGGGCACTTCCCCTGTGCTGTGGTGTATAACTGGAGTTGGTGGGCGGGGCCACAGTCTGACCTGATGTCTGCCCTCAGCCCACCGCTGGGGCACAGTCAGACTGGTGCATGCCTTCTCTTCCCCTCTCCTAGGGGCGGGATTCACTGTGGGGTGGGGTGGCCTGTCTGGGCTACTTGCACACTGCCAGGCTTGTGATGCTGGGGATGTATTAGCTGGGTTGGGTAGGCAAGGTGCACAGGGGCAGGAGGGGCAGGCTTAGCTTGCTTCTCCTTAGGTGATCCACTTCAGGAGGGGCCCTGTGGCAGCGGGAGGGAGTCAGATCCGCTGCCGGAGGTTTGGCTCCGCAGAAGCACAGAGTTGGGTGTTTGCGCGGAGCGAGCAAGTTCCCTGGCAGGAACTGGTTCCCTTTGGGATTTTGGCTGGGGGATAGGCGGGGGAGATGGCGCTGGAGAGCACCTTTGTTCTCCACCAAACTGAGCTCTGTCGTCCAGGGGCTCAGCAGCTCTCCTTCCCTTTGTCCTCCAGCCTTCCCGCTTTCTGAGCAGAGCTGTTAACTTATGACCTCCCAGACGCTAAGTCGCGCTTGCTGTTGGAACACAGTCCGTCAGGCCCCTCCGCTTTTTGCAAGCCAGACTCGGGGGCTCTGCTTGGCCGGCGAGCCGCCCCTCCGCCCCGGCTCCCTCCCGCCAGTCCGTGGAGCGCGCACCGCCTCTCCGCCCTTCCTACCCTCTTCCGTGGGCCTCTCGTCTGCGCTTGGCTCCGGCGACTCCGTTCTGCTAATCCTCTGGCGGTTTTCTGGGTTATTTAGGCAGGTGTAGGTGGAATCTAAGTGATCAGCAGGACACGCAGTGAGCCCAGCGTCCTCCTACGCCGCCATCTTCCCTCAAAATCCAATGTTTATTTTATTTTTGACAGAGAGAGAGAGAGAGACAGCATGAGCGGGGGAGGGGCACAGAGAGAGAGAGAGAGAGAGAGAGACAGAATCCGAAGCAGGCATCAGGCTCCAAGCTGTCAGCACAGAGCCTGATTTAGGGCTCGAACTCACAGACCATGAGATCATGACCTGAGCCGAAGTCGGACACTCAACCGACTGAGCCACCCAGGCGCCCCATAAAAAATTTTTTTTTAAAAGAGTAGAACCGGGATTCTGAAGACTTACTAGATCTAGGATTTAGGGGGAAAAAAAAAAAGAGCAAAGCAAAAACTAGGCCAAAACAAAAGGAGAGGACCTTTGAAAAGAGAGAAGAACAGAAACTGACCATCCTATTTTAGTATATGTGCTGCCGAAGCGAGCACAGAAACTGACCATCCTAAAATGAGTAAGCCAAGGAAACTTCAGTGGCTAAAAAGCCAGAAAGCAACTTTTAAGGAACAAAAAATGCTTAATACATGATTTTAAGTTATTTTACTACTTCTTCTAGCCAAGATAGATTAACAGGGAGCAGATTTTTCCCTCCTGCCAGAAACAGTGAAAGAACTGGACAAAATATAAGAAGCAAATATTTTTTAAGCAGTGCAAGACAGTGATCAGTGAAAAAGAAGAAGAAAATCTGGGTTAGCCTGGGTGGCTCAGTCGGTTAAGCATATGACTTCGCCTCAGGTCATGATCTCGTGGTCTGTGAGTTCAAGCCACACAGTGGGCTCTGTGCTGACAGCTCAGAGACTGTAGCCTGCTTTGGATCCTGTGTCTCCCTCCTCCCTCCACCCATTCCCCACTCACATTCTGTCTCTCTCAAAAATAAATAAACATTAAAAAAGAAGAAGAAGCAATTGAAACCAATACTCAATTACTCCAGCCATTGACTGCAGAGTTTTGAGTGGCAGCCTACAAGGCAGAAATCCAGACAGATCCAAAGACTCTGAGAGGAGTAGACAGCGTCTGGAGTTCAGAATAGGCCAAGCTGGCATTTGCATAGCTTAGTACTGGAAGGGTGAGTTACACAGAGAGAGAGAGAGAGAAAGCCACAAAGGAGTCTCTGAAGAGCATATGTACACGAGGAAACCACCTAAGGCCAGGGAAAGAACCACAAAAAAGAACAATCCCTCGAGCTCATACAAAGCCAGGAATGATTTATATTCTCACTAGTCAGATTGGGAAGGCTTTGTAATTCACAGGGCATCAGGTAAAGTACTTAAACGGCACAGCAAAATTAACGTTAGAATAAAGGTTGCTTTTGGTCCCGCCTTTAAAAAGAATGAAAAAATAAGGAAGAAAAAAAGTCTCTAAAAAAAGTCTCTAAAACTCTTCCCACCTAACCTAACTAGGTTTTGATCCCAGATCAAAACTCAAAACTTCCAACAAGGTAAAATTCTGTGTCTGCCATCAATTTAAAAATTACTAGCCATGATTAGAATCAGGAAAACACAACCCTTAATGAGGGGGAAAAAAAAAAACAAACCTGTATCAATAGACACACACTCAAAAAATAATAGAGATGACAGATGATAGTATATTAAGACATAAATTATTATAACCCAAAATGTTAAGAAAACTATACCAAGGCATATAAAACTCAAACTGCTTTTAAAAAGACATAAAAGGAAGTCTGAGGGGCACCTGGGTGGCTCAGTTGGTTAAGCATCTGACTCTTGGTTTTGGCTTAGGTCATGATGTCATGGTTTGTGAGTTCAAGCCCCGTGTCAGGCTCCATGCTGACAGCTGCAGAACCTGCTTGGGATTCTCTCTCTCCCTCTCTCTCTGCCCCTCCCCTGCTCACTCTCTTTCAAAATAAATAAGTAAACATTAAAAAAAAATCTGACAAGCAGCCAGAGGGATAAAAGGACATATCATTTACACAGGAACAAATAACCAAACATTTCATGTCACAATGTTGGAGAAGTGGATAAAGTACACCAAAGATGGCTGATTGGACTAAAACAAACTCTGGTCTCTAGCTTAGAGACCCCTCCTCTGGGTTCTTCCTTTGCTGCACATGTGAAAACCTCTCCCCTGTTCCCACAAATATGGAGGCTGATAACTATAAATTACCCTTCCTACTCACATTTGGGGCTCAGATCTTTGGAGAAACGGTCTCCTCTGAGCCTGCTGGTGTTAAATAAATCTCCAAGCCACCAAGTTCTCCAAGTGCTGCTTGGTTTTTCTGCCAGTGTTCCAGCCTGATTCCATAACAAATTTGGTTCCCTGACCGGGGAAATCCAACCGCCCTGGCCCATTGTTGCCACCAGTTTGGGAGAACGGCGGTGAGGGAATGAGGGACCACAAGGGAGAGTGTGCGTCCTGCCTAAATTTCGGCAGTCTCCCTCTCTGTCCCCTTCAGGCTGGCCCTGCTTCTCTGTTCCCATTGGACTCGAGGAGATTTGGCAGGAGAGGACCTGGACCTTACATCAGAACTGGTAAGGCTGGGGCCCAATCTAGTCAGGCCCACTTGCAAGAGTGGAAGGGGGACCTGATCACTCCCTGAGACTTCAGAAGTCTCATAGGTAGGGATTCTATGGTAGGGAATATAATAACCTCTGGTGTGTATGTGAATGTGAATGTGTAACTTGGTCTGGCTTGCCTGCCAAGTTTGATTCTGTGGCTCCACAGGCAGGCGCTCTTGATGTCCTCAGGGGGCCACGGAGTCTGAGTGGGCCCATCTGTGATTCCATGGTGGATGGTGCTTGGTCTGTGGTGATATCAGAATGGTTTCTGATCGTGGGTCGCAGGGCTGGGACCTGTGGGGCTGAGCATCACCTGGGTTCCTTCAGGACACGGCCAGGCGGGCATCTGGCTGGTCTCCTCATTGGAGGGGGTGTCCCTGTCCCTCTGTCTGTGTGACTCAACCTCATGGGAGCATTGTGGGGTTGGGACAGAGCCACAAAAGCCAGGCAAAGGTTTTAGCCGCTTTATCCAGAGACTCACCCAGGGAGCCAAAGAAGTGACCCACCGCTCCCCTAATGTTCCCTTCTTCATGACTCTTTAGGATCCCTCCCTCCTCCCCTGAGCTTGAAACTCCTCCCCCCCTGGACTCACTGCTGACCCCCCCCCCCCCACTGCCAGCGCTGGTTGCCCATTTCTCCTCCCCTTCCAGGCCAGAGAACCCTCCCCAACAAGGCCCAGAAGCCAGATTGCACCCTCGGCCAGGCACAGGTGCTTTCCAGATGCCGGTCCACATCCACTGATATCAAAAGGCTCTCAGGGGGATCAGAGCAGGCTAAGAAGGCCATAAATATGCCCAGCAGCAAGGGGGGAGGCCCAGAACCTCCTTAGCAAGGGGTCAATGAACCTACTGCAACGGGAAAGGACATTAAAAAGAATAAGTGTCCCAACCAGGGAAAGTCCCAAAAACCCAGCGGAAATCAGGAGTAACCTCAAGAAGGGGACCTTATTGGTCAAGCCGAGATAGAACCAGACTGGAAGGGGACACTGAGTCTCTCTCCCTGTTCCTCTGCTTAATAGACATGAGGGATTCTCCCTCATTTCCCAGGTTAACAGCTATAATTGGAGCCAACTGTGGTTACTCTACCTCAGGACAGGGTCTTTAAGGAATATTCCCAAGCAGTTGCTGCTTCTGCGCTCCCCTCCCCCTCATGTTTCTGCACCAATTTGGGTGTGGACCTATACCAGCCTCAGTGTCTCAGACACCATTGGTTCCTCCTCCCACTCTCCAAGTCAAGGAGTAAAGTGCACCCCCCCTTGGACCACCCATTTCAGATATCTCCACTGGTGCCCCAAATGAAAATTGACAGTGGGGAAAAATTGACTTTTAGGTGGATGCAGGTGAAATATATTTGATGTTTAAACTAATTTAAGTTTATTGGACCTGTCTTTAAAGTTATCAGCAAAGGTCAAATAAGCTCATGTCATCTCTGTTGCAATTTGTTGATGATAGTTCATTTTTTCTGTGTCAAAGTTTTCATGGGTAATTGTTAAGATAACTTTCAAGGTCGTTGGTAACCTGAAACTTTCCAAATAGGATGGAATGCTAAAGCTTTGATTATTGAACATAGGTTTGTGTTTTTAACTTCTTATTGCTGAGAAATTAAGGCTGTTCATACCTATTGGAAAACATGCTTTGTACTTTATTGGTTCACGAATTTACCATCTAAAAAAATTCTGATGTTAACACCTCTCAATTTGTTACTAAGTCCTCAATTGGAGACTAAGGTTTCCTAAGAGTTAAAATTCTGCTAAATGTACTTAAGACTAATGAAAATAAAGAAAGCAACTCTGGATGTAGGAAAATAGGAGGTATATAAGAAAGATATAAGGAATGGAAATACAGTTTCATTGAGGGTAAGAGAAAGTAATTTTGTCCTGAATGAGATTGGTTATTTGGAAAGAAATGGCTTTGGGATAAAATTTAGAAGCAAAAGAAAGTTATAGAAGGTTGAGATGAATGGAATTTTAGAAGTACACTGGTATAAGGTTGAAATCCTGCTTTTCTCTCTGCTCAAATGAAAAAGTTTTCTTGAACTATTGATCTGCTTTTGTAAGACAATACAAACAAAGGTTTATCCTCCAGGAAGATCAAAGTTTTAGGTCTCATCTCTATCAGGTCTTTGATTACTTAGTTAAAACTTCTGAATGTTAAAGGAGCTAGGTTTTGATAACAACTGTATAATGCTATACATTCACCTTTGGGATCTTTTATTGCCACTTTTGTTGAATATATAAAATTGTAAGATTTGTAAGATCTGTAATCCTATTTAGGATGCACTTATGACTTCTGGGGTTTTAACGAACTTCTCAGGATTTAAATGGTAAATGAAGTCTCCTTGACCAATTAGGCCCTTTTATTTGGGATGTTAAGTTACTTGGAAAAGCTCTGTCATACAATGGTAAACCTTAGATTGTATTGCACAGGTAAATGTTGTAACTGCCCAAATATATGCAATTCCTAAAATTTTAATGTTTTGATATAAGGTCATCACCTATTTCTGATTACTTGAGATGTTATGTGTCACAGAAATAATCAAATTTCTTTGTCAATTCCATCATAATGAACTCTCATCAGATATTTAACGATGTCTATTTCTGAGATTTTGCCATTTATAATTGTTCTTATTCTCTCACAAAACGTGTTTCTTCTTCAAGGAGATTTATAAAAAGGGCTTTGGGGATAAATACAGGTATTCAACATCTTTAAGATTAATACTAAAATGGATAAACATTGCCAGAACTAAAAAGCTTTATTCAAATTGAACAAGAATTAGGAACATGGGATTAAATGAACTGAGAAAGGTTATAGTTTTGTGATTCTTGTTGAAAATATTGCTGGTTCCCTAATGTTTCCTCTTCCAGAGTAAGAAAAATTTCTCTTAAGGTATCTATGATATACAAAAATGTCATAAAGTATGCATTTGTAAACTGAAGCATTTATCTTTTCTCTCTACATAATTCCCCTGAAATTCAAATCTCTCAATGAGTATTCTTTCTTTCATGGCAATTACAATTGCTTGCATAAGTTCAGTAAGAATCTGTTCATCTTATAATAGGTCACCATTTGGAAATACTGGTTAGTTTACCAAGGCTTTGACTGGAATGTCATATTTGAGGGCGACATTCATAGACTCAGATATTACCAGGCAGCTTTAAGGAATTAGGGTTGGCTTTATAAAACATGGAGCCATAAAGCCCCTTGGAAATGTTGGCCTGGTGCCTTGCTTACAGAGTTCCCAGCAACCTTACCAGGTAAGTAAAGAAGGTCATTTCCTGGCAGGTGCAGGAACCTCAGGATATCTTGGGGACTTCATGAAGAGGAATTCGCCCAATTCTACAGGTATTGCAGACCTGTCTGATGGCAAGTATTTGGCTTGGCTTCTGGCCTGGAGAGGCTACTAAAAGTTCAACCCGGAGATTTAGAACCTATAAAAGGTTCTAACAAAACAAACTTTAAAAGATCATCATGATCAATCTCTATTCTTGCTGAGTTTATGTAAATAATTAGGCCAGATTAAGACTGGATTTGTTCTACAAATGCATTGGTCTCAATTTGTCTATCTCTGGAAAGGGGGGAGGGGGTTAGAGAGAACAACTATGTTTCAGTAATGCACCGTTATGGATGTTAAATTCTCATTATGATTGCCTTTAAATTTTGAGGAATCAACATGTGGACCGAGCTCAGGGGTTTGGATGCAACTCTGCCAGCCCTTGCCCCTCACTGGTATCATAGCCCTGATCTTACTTCTTATTGTTGGGCTGATAGAGATTGCACCAACAAGCTGGACATGGGACAAAAGATGCATGCTGGGTCTCACATACCTCCTCTGGATGGGAGGATTAAGTATTGCCTGTATATTATGATAATCTCTCTCACCCTCACAACTGCCACTTACCTACTTTGCCCCCAGGATTGTTATATGACAATAAGGGGGTCAAGGGTGTTCAGTGCCTTCAACTCCCTCCACAAAGATTGCTACAAGGGAAAAACACCCACTCTCTGTCAGTCACCCGGTGCTCCAAGGACTAAGTATTGGACCATAGAGATAACCCAAAATGTCAGGAACCCATGTCACAACAAGGGCCTCCAGAGAGGGAAGCTTGCTACACTTACCTTCCTCAATGGGGGATCTCAGACGGGGGAAGGGTGCAAGACAGGGCCCTTCAAAAAGCTATAAAGGATACCCAGGATAGGGTAATACAAGCCATAAAGGCAACCACTCCCCTGGCAGCCTACCAAGGTTTGAACCTTTCAGCCCTCAATCATATGCTTACCAATTCCCCACTCCAGCGTTGGGCCAACACTACTCTACAAGTCTTCCATAAAATAGATAATCACACCCAAACCTGCTGGATGTGCTTGCCCCTCAGCCGGAGGGTTTACTTAGCCACTCCTATCCCTTTGACCTGGGAAGTTCCTGAAAATCTGAAAACCAACACTTCTGTCTTAATTGGACCCGTGGCCACTGGGATCCTTCTCACAAATGCCAACAATCTAATCTGTACAGTCCCTGGAGGTATGAATGGTACCTCTCTATACGGAAAAAATATAACCTTAAAGAGAAATATAATGCTATGTTCAACCCCTGAGGTGTTCTATCTATGTTCTAATTTGGCCTTCTGATGCTTACAGGCCAACTGGATATCTCTGGGGTTAGGAAGATATCCTATATCCATATACACTGAAGATCAGCTCCTAACAGCCTTTAGCCCCAAGTCCCAGGCTAAACGGGCAGTCCTTCTACCCATTCTGATAGGAGCAGGAATTGTGACAGGAATAGGAACCAGAATAGGGAGAATAGATTCATCCGTAGGACTATACCATAGACTATCTCAAGAGCTAAATGAAGACATGGAACAGGTGGCAGATTCTCTGGTAGCCTTACAAAGCCAAATAAACACTCTGGCGGCAGTGACCCCCCTAAATAGGCGAGCCCTCGACCTCCTCACTTCAGAAAAAGGAGGGACTTGCATCTTTCTGGGGGAGGAATGTTGCTATTTCATAAACAGTCAGGAATAGTTACAACTAAGGTTAAGGAACTCAAGGAAAGAATTCAACATAGAAAACAGGAAAATATCAATAAATGGAAAGGATGGGATCTCACAGATTGGGCATTCTGGCTTCCTGCCGTGGAAGGGCCCCTCCTCTCCATAATTTTGCTTGTATCCATCGGCCCCTGTATACTGAATGCCGTGGTATGTTTTATTGAAAACGCTGTTGCTTGCCAAACTACTGCACATATCTTAGCTTTCTGAGAGTACCAACCTGTAAAACTGAAAGGTGATGCCTACTAAAAGTTTTTTTTAAAAGGCATCAATGGGGGGAATGTTGGAGAAGTGGATAAAGTACACCAAAGATGGCTGATTGGACTAAAACAAACCCTGGTCTCTAGCTTAGAGACCCCTCCTCCAGGTTCTTCTTCCTTTGTTTGCTGCGCCCATGAAAACCACCCCCCCCCTCACAAATATGGAGGCTGATAACTATAAATTACCCTTCCTGCTCGCATTTGGGGCTCAGATATTTGGAGAAATGGTCTCCTCTGAGCCCACCAGTGTTAAATAAATCTCCAATCCACCAAGGTCTCCGAGTGCCGCTTGGTTTTTCCACCTGCGTTCCAGCATGATTCCATAACAAGAACAGGGCAAGACAGAAAACAAAAGAGTAGTGCCTTTAAAGTATTAAAAGAAAAAAAGTGTCAACCAAAATTGTATACTTCCTAAAAATAATTTCCAAAAAGGATAAAATAAAGACATTTCCAGATGTGAAAAGCTTAACAGTAGACCTGCACTGAAAAATTATTTAAATTGTATAATATTATTATATGATAAATAATGTAATTTCTATTACACAAATGATTTTATTATTTAATAATCATTATTATTTTATACATTGTGTGTACATATAAATCCCTTTAGGCAGAAGGGAGATGATAATAGATGAGAGTCTGGATGCTGAGGAATTTTCCTCCAATTGTCAAGTATTGTGAAGAGTGTGAGAGTTTACCCTGCTAGTAAGCTAACAACTTAGCCTGCTGAAGTTTCCTGGGTGCTGGCAGAAGACTTGAGCCTTTTGGGTCAGCAACAAAGACTTGATTAGTCAAGGAACTACAAGAGGCACTAGCATTGGCATATTTCATAGCAGTTCTTAGGGTCCCAATCTCCACAGGGTGACAGGAATGCTGCATAACAACCACACACACTGTGGGATGCAATGCAAGAGAGAAGCTGGAACTTAGGGAACTCAAACCTTCTACCTTGAGCAATAAGCTAGCCTGTCCTCTGCTCCAGAGGGAGACACTATCTCTGTCTTCCAAGGCTGTGCCTGTACAAACATTTCTGTAAACATAGTCCGGCACAATGATCAGTCAGTGCCTCTGCTCACAAGATGTTCAGGAACATGAGACAACCATATTGTCTCCCAATAATATCTACCCCCCACTTCCACATCATTTTGACTTCTGGCGAATTCTTTCATGAGTATTCATTCCATTGGCCACTCTGATTAATCTGACCTACAGAAGGTGGAACAAAACCCATTCAATTTGTTCCACATAACATTCAATTAGAGCTGCTATCACAGGATAAGAGCAAATTAGAACTACCATATGATCCAGTGATCCCACTTCTGGGTCTATATCCAAAGGAGGAAATGATATCACTATTTCAAAGAGATGTCTGCACTCCCATATTTATTACAAGGTTATCCATAATAGCCAAGATAAGGAACAATGTAAGCATCTATCAATGTCTGAATGGATAAAGATATGGTACATATATATATATATAGTACATGTTATATATAAAATATTATAGTATTAATATAACATAATTATAGATAATTACATTTATGTAACATTAAAAATATATAATATATACATTATTAATATATATACAACATATTCTTTATATATATATATGTGAATGTATATATTTATGAAGTTACTCAGCCATGAGAAAGAAGTAAATCTTGCCATTTATAACAACATGGATGGACTTTGAGGACACTATCCTAAATGAAAGAAGTCCAACAGAGAAAGAGAAATACTGTATGAAATCACATATAATCTCAGTACTTTTTCTAACCAGATGACTTACATCACAGGGATAACTGCCAACAGAGCATATGTAAATAATGAGTCAGTTCTCTATCCAGGAAGCTCCCCAGAGAAAGTGACGATAGCTTCATTTTGGCAAGAACTCCACAGTCATCTGAAAACTACCTGATCTACTGATGAGGCTTCCTTAAATACTAGAAGGTCTCAGATGACAACCTCAAAGTTATAATTAGCTGTGTATTCAGGAAGGGGAAAAATTAATGCCTGACTTCCACACAAAAATTTCAGTCCTGGAGACACATATGGTACCCCTAGAAAGAAAATATTGCCAATTGTTAAGCCCGACATCATTTGGGGAAGCACACACTGATAGTGCCTCCAATGTGGCCTGATAGCTAAGGTGGACCTCAGTTCAGTTCCAATAATTGATTCCAGTCCTTTTGTCTGGAGAGATTGTATAAAGGCAGTCAGTCCAATCAACCCTTTTGCCGTTCATCACTAGCTGGGTGGCATTTGCGTGCCCCACAGAATGTCTGAACAACAGCCATAGGAGTGGGGCTGGGGCAGACATTCAGAGATGGTGATAAATGTTTTGCATGGAAGGTGTGGGAACTGAGGCTACCCCTTTCTATTTCCAATCAGTTTCTTAGTAAGAGTAAGGGGAATGATGATCAAATTGTAGTCAGAGCTGTCTGGCAGAAGATGGCAACCTCACCAGTAAGTTAAGTATTGTTGCAATCATTTGCCATGACAGGCTGTTTCTCCATGAAAAAATCCCCAGGGCTGACTCTAAAAGCAAAAAAGATCTTTAGTGCCAAAGTCTAAGAAACTCCATTTCAGTGCCAAAGTTATTCTCCCTCTACTGTGGCAAAATTGATGTGCCCCTTTTCCAGTAGCTATAACTTTACCTTTTTCCAACTATTCCCTAATCATACTTAGATCAGGCCCAAGAGAAATAAGACCATTCCTGTAGAACTTACACAGACCCATTGTGTCCCCTGCTTTGTCCCTCATGGACCTCTGGAAAAGAACTCAGCCAGCAGGTATACTTAACCAAGTAGTCATTCTTTTTATGACTGAAGACCATGTCAGTCCCACAGAACAATGCAAATGGCTGAACCAACAGTAAGTTTGAATACACTAGCCTCCCTTTTGACTAAGCTGTCTCTGGAAAGTATATCAATCAAGCCAACCTGGGAATGTAAGTAAGGATGGGAAAAAGCATCATGTCCAGGGAAGATCAGGTTGAAATCCCAAATTTTCACAATTGGCATATAGAACCTTCTATCTTTCAACCTGCTCATTACCCAGTGTATTAGTTTTCTAAAGCTACCATACCAAGTGATCACAAACGTGGTGGGTTAGAAGAGTAGAAATGTATTCTTTCATGGTTCTGGAGATAAAAAGTCTGAAATCAAATGTCAGCAGGGTCATGCTCCCTCTGAAGTATCTAGGAGGAAACCTTTCTTCCTCTTTCAGCTTCTATTGGCTCCTGGCATTCCTTGGCTGGTAGTGACATAACTCCAATCTCTGCCTCCATCGTCACATGGCCAGCTGCCCTCTGTGTCTTTCTGTGGCCAAATATCCTTTCCTTTCTCTTTTAAAGACACCAGTCATTGAATGTAGGGGATACAATTCAACCCAGGAAGTGTGCAAGAGAAAATAATACCCTTCAATGGACAGCCACATTCAGTGATCAAACTGCTTTACAGATATGTAGAGGAGGAGGAGGAGGTAAGAGGTAAAATCCGAATACTTTTTAAGCCAATTTTTAAAGAAGTCAGTTAAATTATACTGCTTAAGCTTAAGTATTGGTGAGCCAAATTCGGGCATTTAGGGGAACCTCTGTGAATTGAGGGCCACATTAAGCCAACAGCATTACTACCAGATTAGAAGTAAGTTTTCTCCTAAAGGAATGGTCATTACTTTTTAACATAAAGCTGAGATGCCACTGCAGCCAGACCAGCTATATTTCTGGCTATTCCATTTCCATTTGACAAGAGAGGTATATTGAGCTCTTCCCACTTTGTTAGTCAGAATCTAGTTTACCCATCCCAAAGTGAGACTATTAGACCAGAGGGTCATAAGGCTTTATGGATTAGCATTCAATTTCTATAAGACCATAGCAGCAAGCTAATAGCTGCTCTCTGGAAGAAGTTTACCTGATAGCTGCACCATGGAAGTGACAAATATAAATACAGCCCACAGGATGCTTCTGGATAAAGATCGTCACCCATTGCCAGAGGCAAAAATCAGCAAAATAATCAGCCACAGAAACATTTAGCTCAAAGGGATGACTAAGTGGTGGGGCCCCAAAGGTATTAAAATTTCTGTATATGCAGTTCTTACTGATTGAAGGACTCCTTTCTGACATTTATGGTATATGGATATACAAGCATATAGCACATTAATTACTACTATGCATTCACATATGAATCTACAGTAATAAGAACGCTGAGTTGGCTGAATAGGGCATGTTCCATGAGGTCACATTAGTTTCCATCGCCACTGTAGAACTTGCTCAGATCCCATAGGTTGAATTCAGATGCCCCTCTTGACATGAAACAGGATAGGATGCAGACTTGATTTCCTGACTTCAACAGATCCATAAAAGTTTGAGTCCCTCCCATTTCTAAAGCTTCCCAGCATACTCACACAGGTGCATATTGCCTCTGAAA